AGAAGCCAAGAAAATTAATAAGCATATTATAAATAACAGTTTTCTAATGACCTATAAAGTTCAGCAGCCTCAATAATAGTTCACAAGCTTGTCATCACAGACATGTAACCGTTGTCAAGTTTCTGTTCGGCTATTTTCGGCTATTTAGGACAACGATTTATTTTTTGCTCCCTCTCTTGGGTGAAACCTAACTGGACTCGGAAGTTGTACTAGCACGAAGACGTAGTCGACATTGTCTCCAGAGAATGGAGTACCTTAAAAACGGGAAGTGGGAGGAGGAAGAAGGGATATTATGATGGTTCTAAAAGGGCACAGGGTGTAAAGACAATATAAGAGTCCACCCTGATATTAAGTTGGTTTTAATATTAAAGCAGAACAATTAGAGAAACAGGCCAGTGAAAGTTTGGGGAAGAAGAAAAAAATTAATAATAAGAAAATTATGATTCTTTTTTTGAAGGTGTGATCAATCAAACACGATTGACAACTCTATGACGTATCTTGCCAGGTCTCTTCCCATTTGCCCTGTACAACAAATCTTCGAAAAACGTATTTTTCCCTAAGAAAATGTGCAATCATACATTCACCCTGAGTATAGTTATAACAAATATGTTTGCAACAGTTCTATTCTGTCATCAATGACGAAGAAAATGAAAGTTTATGAAATTTGCTGGACTGAGCAAAATAGATGCAGGTATGAGCTAGCAAGATACGTCGCAATACGTCACACTGTTTTTATTCGGATATTGCTCAAAACTTTCACTAATTTGTTCCTCTCATGTTCTGCTTATACTAAAACCAAGATAATATCCGAGACAAGTATGAAAAGGGACGCTAGAGAGAGGGGGACTTTCAGGAGAGGAACATTGTGTTATCAGGCCTTCAACTTCTTTCTATTTTTCGCTCTATTGACTATCTAATTTCTTCTTTCTTTCTTTCTTCTTTTCTTTCTATCTTCCTTTCTTTCTCGTTTTTCTCCCTCTCGCATTGCATATCTCACTTTCTCTCAGTCTTCCATTTCCAAACGAGATTGCCTGGTGCTCTCCGTATCTAGGGTTCCTTATTGGTGAGGAGCAAAGAAATGTAAGAAATATAACAGTTTACTTAGTCGTACTTTTCACGATCCAACACTATGTCAATTTTAATATAACTTATACCCGTACATGTTTTTTCTAACGCACACACAAGCTATACAAACAAAAATCGTATTTAAGTGTTAAAAACACTCGATTGCTTGAAAGTTCTTGAGAAGCTATCTGAACTGTGTACAGTGCTCTCGGTGAAAGCTTTTAAAACCTGGGGGTATTTCACAAAGAATAAAGTCGACTTTAAGTTGGACTTAAATATAGCAGGCCATTCATGCCACCGTTTCCAATCACCGTTTACTGTCATTGGTCTCTCAAGAGACCTACAAAATAATCATGGTCACAAGTCTACAGAATTTATATTTTTTGAGAATTCATTATTGAAAGAAAAAATATATTCAAAGGTCATAATGGTGAGAGCAAACGGTGGCATGAATGGCCTGCCATATTTAAGTCCAACTTCAAGTCGATCTTAGTCTTTGTGAAACGCTCCCCTGAACACCTTTCATATGTTTACCTTTGATACCTTAGATATTCTGATTGACTTATCCATTGCTCGTCAACTATTTTTCAGGAAACTAGTAGCGGAAGGCTCTATCTTGATAGTATTATCTTATATGGGTGACTGAATCTCTGTTACTCCGAGAATATATACGAACTAATATAAACTCAGGTTTACACCCGGAAACATATAAGCCTTCTCCGTCGTACCGGACGCATTCATTTGTCTCATCTTTCAGTTCAAAAATATCATTTAAAATATTTTAACTCGACAATGCAAAGGTAATACAGGTAGGCCTAGTCATATTCATCTTTTACATTGTGATGGACAAAGAGTCGATATGCGCTAAATCCTAGAAGAAGGGTGGCCGATTTGTTTTTAGTTGTGTTTGTAAAAATCAATATTGCTTACAATAATTACAGCATGACGCCTTTATCAAAATTAACTGACAAATTTATTCGTGAATAGCCTGTGATGAGTTTCATAATTGACTGCATAAAAGTATGTTTATTACAAGGAAGATGTGGTCTGAAATATCCTGACTATCAATAAAGGGAGTGTAACTATCCTTATTATCCCAATATTGTCAGTACTTATTTAATATACACCTGTGCGGCCAAGTGTGGGTTAAATGCCACGCCAAATGATGACATCTTGTATGAGATTCAGGTGCATTCACAAAAATAGGTTTCTACACTGCCCTCTCAACATAAAATTGAAAGATCAAAGTCCAAGTTTAATACCAAGTTCAAAAGATCAATTAAATACTGAATCGTTTGCTTCTCATTGCATTATCTGCTAAAAAGGCAGCGGTTGTGAGGTTTTAACACCGTTAATGATATAGTTCTTCACCACATTGCAAACAAGTCATTAGTAAAGCGGTAAATATTTACATGAGCGTTGGCATCTTGGAGCGTTTCGGTGCTGTATTTGATACAAACATTTTCAAACAACCATGTAAATTACCTTCCAAAATAGAAAATTATCAATATATTATGAAGTATATGTACCGATACATTGATCTCATTGAGAAAATATATCTTTTATGGAAGGTTGGGTATTATCCTGCCAATCTATTGATTATCCTTAAACCCTCGATTTGATCATAAATGAGGTTAAAGTCAATTGCCATGTATATTTAAGGGTTTAAGACAATTGCACTATTAAAACATACAATTTTTCATGATTTTGTTGCAAATAGATTAATGATGTTTTATCACATTGTTTATGAAATAGGGATACAAATATAAGGAAAATATGTATATCTCCTTAGATAAGTTCGAAAAGTATAATTATAGTGCGTTTATATTTACAATATTTGTACTAGTAATCGAAACTCAAGTTATCACCAGTGCAATATGGATTGATCAAATTCCTCATCCTATCTCAATAATTGCGTAAAAATGTCAAACATCAAATGTCAAAGTCTGGAGATTCCTCTTTTGAAATAGTTTAGAAAAGGGGACATTAGGACTAATAACACAATGTACAACATTGGTAAATCAACTTTAATTTAACTGTTGGTACAAGATGCACTTGAATTAATGTAACTATTGCAACTATAGTTTGCACGCTACAGGAAATCAGGAACTCAAATCCCAACCCATGTCGGAAAATCCGCTCTACCACAGCCTTGAATCGGAACCCCTAATCTGTCCAAGTTCAATCCCTTATCCGTTCCTTCTTCCTTATACAATCTCTCTCCTTCTATAAACCATAATACCCAAATACAGGAAACACCGTCCTAATGACGATCTTTAATTTTATTGACATTCTGGTTAGTATTTCGAGCTTGGGGTCTGGTTTATGCGAACTTCTACACACATCCTTATCAGCGAGCTGCAAAATCACTCGGAGCACTTTAAAACTTCCTGTATACATAGAGCGCCGTTATACATGGGATAAAGTAAAGTTTTATTGGTTGTATTATGAAGTAATTTATAAGGCAGCGAACGGCGCCGAGCATCAGAAAATACTGTAGATCACATGCACGCGCGGAAAAGCCGACCATTAAGAGTTCGACAGTCGTCGCTAGCGAAAGAAAAAGTTCCATTTTCTGGATAATTTACTTGGGTATTCGGCTCGGCAAGATCGACTTATCAAACGGTTGCAACAACGGGAATTGAAGTTAAAGCAGTTTTAGTATACTACGCTCTATGCCTATATAGCCCATAGAAATCATGTTCGGGTTAAATAAAACGCCATTGTTATATTCGTACATTTAAATAGATGCTCTACAAAAGTTACTGAAAATGTTATGGCTTAAACTGACAACAAAATATCAAATTTCTCATTGTTTTTTAGAATCAGACTTTGTGTGTATGGAATTGTTTAAGTGGTAAGGAAGAGCACAAAGCTTGTTTAAAGAAGGTCAACACCTCTTTGCGTTAAGAAAACCCCTTAATCATGCACGCCCGGGAAATTCCGCGTTGGTATTTTTTGCGCTAGAAAATCTCGCAAACTCAATTTTAGAAAATTCCCCGCATCCTGCTAACCACACGTGCTATCCATTTAACCAAGCACTTTTTAAATCCGTCATGAGGAAGAGTGAGAGAGAGAGAGAGAGAGAGAGAGAGAGAGAGAGAGAGAGAGAGAGGGGAAAGGTGGTTGGAAATAAAGAGCTTCCAAAAACATCAATTATAAGCTTTCTTTCCTCTTTACAGGTCTATCCAGTTAACCCGACTAATCAAGGCAACTGGATTTTGAAAGGAGTAGCTCATAGCCAGCGTTTGAGGTCTTACTTCCTTGTGTTTTTGAGGTTATAACACCGGCGTATTTTAAGGAGGGACACGAGGGGTAATTTGCCCCCTCCTAATAGATTTCAGACCAAGAAAAAGAACTACAGCCCTAATAGTACTAAGCAGGTTAGAAATCAATGTAAGTCAAGCAACGCATGTTATAGTTTTTCTTCCTCCAATAAGTAATTTTTGGCGACGCCCCCCCCCCCCCCCCCCCATGATTCACCTGCACATCCAGGGCCCCCTTACTAAAACATATGGATCACAGTTAGTTGAAATGTTCTGCCCCTCCTGGAGTCGAGGTCTGAATACGCCACTGGATCTATAACGCACACATACACACAAACACACACACGCACCGTCACATAAACGCACACACCATCGCATGTCCCGAACTATATACGTCGGATTTAATAGCTCTCATTCGTTCACAGTTCAACTCGAGAGTGACAAGTTTGCCCTAGCTCGTGCAGAGTGCAGTCGCTGGAGCTATCAGATCCAAGTCGTCAGTCATCCATACGCATTTGAGCTGGTCACACCAGTGATACTGTTCTGTGATCACACCTATACTGTTTTTACAGGACGAATCTACTTTATTGACATTAAAAGGAGACTCATTTATCTCTCACCGACGCATTTTATGAGTTTGACCTTTTTTCACAAGGACACTTTGAAATATTAATATTTTGGGGGTATTTTGGAGGCATGATACTTCTTTAGGATCACGATGACGGGTAGCATGAGGACTTCCAATCGGTGGACGACCATGAGTAAATCAATATGGAGAGTTATCATCGTTCACGCCATCGTCTTGTGGAATGTTGGGAGATCACAGCATTTATCGGGTAAGAATACATGAAAACCATACTTACCTGTGTATAAATTGTCTTAATTGTTTTACATGTATTAATATATATCTATATTCAAATTCAATTTGTTTATGTACTTATTTATTCATACATTTATGTATTCATTTATCTATTAGTTAATTAATTAATTTATTCATTATATTTACAGATTTATTAATCGCATTATTAAATTCATCAACTTCGTCATTTCTTAATTGTTGGCAATAGTGGGCTTCGTTATTGGATCTACATGTCAGATTTGAAATCATGAAATTCGCAGTACATACAAAAAATTGTATTTACATCTTAAATTCTTGATTCTGCTTTTACTGCTGACATCTTGACAAACACTTATCTTGATACCAAAACATAATCAGTTGATTTGCAATTTTCCTGAAGTAATCGGAGGCCCTGACAATTATGTTTCGGTATCAAGATAAGTGTTTGTCAAGATGTCAGCAGTAAAATCAGAATCCAGAAGTGAAGATGTAAATAGAACATATTTTGATACTGCGAATTTCATTATTTCAAATCTGAGATGTACATCCGATAACGAAACCTACTAATTCTAACAATTAACGCTTGCATACATTCTGATCAGTTCGCACCAATTTTTGTTCTAAATGTAATTAGGAAGAATTAAAAGAACTGTCGTTAAAACTTGACAGAACTTGACATCAAACTTAAAAAAACACTGCATACAGGATTTGGTCAAGAAAGTTATCGTTATGACTTTGAGAGCTAGCATTATGACGTCATCTGTTCGTATCCAGATTGTGAGAGAGATTAAAGTGACATTTGAAGATGAAATATCCGTTTGCCATTCGTGAAGGAAATATATCTATTAACCGTGCGAAGATGGTGAAGATTTTTGGAACTGCCTTGACTACGTTGTCAAGTTTCGTCACCCCCATCCTATTTCCATAAGCAAGTGTGAATCTTTGGAGGTAATACTGTACGGTAGATCGTTGCATTCCGCAAAATGTCAAATGATAGATCACTTTTGTGACGACACAATGAACAAATTGATTGTAAATAAGTGACGAATTAGAGAATAGTACAGGTAACAGATGTAGTATCCGTGACAGCAGACGACAAAGATGTCGAGAACATCAAAGCTCTGCCGAAATTGAAAGAACTTTAAATTTTGGGGTTTATGCAATCAAATTCAGACAATCCCAAACCCTCCTTCAAAGTCATACAGCTGAAACATACAATTATGTCAACGAAATGTCGAATTCTACTCGGGTAGTGTCAGGAAAAATTAGTTATTTGTTCCTCCTTGTTATTATGTCGATCATTAATTTACTAATTTCACAGCTACCCAAATATTTTGAAACGAAATCCTGCCCCGTAACATCCTTTCACCCATAATGATTGAGCGCAAGGCCTGCCATAATTACATCTATCAGTGTCAACCCCAGCTTTCACTCCGCGGGATGCATCCCCACTTGGCTTGTCATGGTGTGACTCATTACCCGTATTCATATTTCAACATTGAGAAAAGGCTTTTCTTAGCAAGACATAGTTTTGGAGCTAATCGCATTTATTAATCTCTTTCCTCGGCCGTGAATCACACAATACGTGGGGATTAGGAAAACAATGGGTACGGCGCAAGGTGCGGCTTCATAGAGGGGGGGGGGGGGGGGGAGAGTAATATAAAGGCATTTGATAACCTTAATAAACTGAATAAAACACGGTCTGTCTCGAAGGCTAAATAAGTATTGTGAGTAACATTGACCCAATTGCATGATCGAAAATCAAGGGATCTGTTTAAAGGGCAATACACACTCTAATATCAGCTTGCTTTTGTTGAATGTATTTGATTTTAGAAAGCGATGGAAAAGAAAGTTAGTGGTGTTCGAAAAAATCAATTATGATTATCGGCCTTTAGAATTGATGTAATGTGGGACAACTCTCTACTCATTTTGAAAAATGAAATAAACTTCCGGTTGTTTCTTTAATTGTGTTTACCTTAATTTTTTGCCGAACATGTGTAATGAATAACCCGATGTCATAGTAAAAAGAAAGTAAATCCTCTTTAGAGTATCGAAAATTGTCAATCTTTAGTCACTTAAATGCAAAACTATTGTCAGATCGTTAGCGTTGTCAAATATTTCAATTATAGACGTAGGAATAATTGTGGAGCGCCAGGAATGTCAAGTCTGAAAGACATGAGCACTATACAAGAACCCACTTTTGTATTATTATCGTTATTAAATGATATGCTAATGGGATAAGAAACATTAACCTAAGAAATATGGTCCGATTCTCTGCTCATCTTTCACTCTTTCAGAAACTTTTGGTTTTCAAAGTTAGATTTCACCGATAACTCAAGTACTCTCACTGCAAGCTACCTCGTCCCCAGTTGGGGTTGCCCTTAAAGGTCCCATCAGAGATTTGCAGATTTGCACTTTTCGAAATTTTTATCTGTAGGGGTACACAACACATTGAGTGAACAAATACTTCCACTTGCAAAACTCAAATTTGAAAGGAAACTTTTTGCTAAAAATGATTATTTTGCCACCAACATTTTTTGTAGTAATTTACAAATTTGATTTTTTGTTTACAACTTTTTGGCCTTTGTACAAGTTTTGTGATTTTCACAATGTAAATCCCCGCATCACCTTTTGAAGCAACTCTCCCCGATCTATATGGGATGTATGAGTAATTTTGAATCAATTTGAGGATATGAAATGCCCTGGGATTGGTCACCCCAACCTCCTATTGTAAGCATGGTAATGGTGCAGGAAATAGTACTCATGGGAGATTTCCGTTCGAAAGTAACTCAATGTTCAGTATGGGAACTTTACCTCCACTCCCCAACCCCCCCCCCCCCCCCCCCCCGCTCCCTGGTTTGCCGGCACAAACCCTTATCAGTTGTTGTGAGTAACGAAGTCTGCACTGTGAGACTACAATGGGCTATGTACTGCATGTAGCTGCTCCTCCTGCCACAGCCTAAAACTTACAGACCTAGGCTCTGCTCAAGGCTTTAGGAATTGTGGTGAAGTGTCATATTATAAAGTTTGTGCTTGAAGACCCCCCCCCCCCCCAGCATTACCTTGCACACTGTTCCATGGTAAGATGCTTTGTTAACTGTTGTACCAGCAGAGAGTAAAGCGGGAGAGGTAGAGAGTGAGAATGAGAGAGAGAGAGAGAGGGGGGGGGGGGTATTCAAAAGAGAGACATTTTCAGGAAGCAAGGGGCAGGCGCATTGATCTAACATATTGATTTTTTTTCTCCAGAAGTATTGAAATGGGCAACCGACCCCACGGTATACTTAATATCATCGCCGTATCATCGCCTACAGACAACATACGGTCAGAGCAGTGAATAGTTTTCCTTTAGATAATTTCCGTTAAGATTAATAAGAACAGACCAAAAACAAAGAAAGCAATATCAACAACAATAAATAGTTTAAATGGAAGTTGACGGAAGATGATTTGGGTTCGTTCCCACTCCCCTGGGATGTTGGTTTCGATTACTCATAACGCTGACATCGTTTTCAAATATAGGATGGTAGCAAATCCCATCAGACAGAAATAATGAATAAATGGTGCACAAAGAGCCAAATTTAGCTCAAACCGATGTCTCCTTTCTATTCCCAGAGGTCTTTTGCGACACTAGTTTCTTTCAAATAAAGCTCGTTTTTTGCTATTTAACTGTTAACACGTAACCTTGGACTGAACTTTTCGAAAAGGAGTTTACATTATATGGAGTAGAAGAAATTTGAAGGATGATTCTTCCTGCCTCTTACCCGGGAAAAACTCTTGTATTGGAAAGGCCCCCTATCATGCCCATAAACTTGTGTTGGGATACCGCACTGCATCTATCTTGTCAATGAGGTTCATAAGTATTTTGAATTTATTTTTCGTCATAACCCCCAAATGAATGTGAGAAGATTCAATGACAAACATTGCATACTTTCCTAAAATTCTTTTGTTGCTTTTTTATTCTTCCTTCAAGTAATTTTTAAGATAATTGTTTAATCATTGCTAGACAAAGGCGTGCGGAAACTATTTCGCCAGTAGTCTCTTGACCGAATGACATGAACAATTTCTAAATATCGCGAGCGAGCTGAATTTTTAAATTTTTATTGATTTCGTAAAACTGTACGAGATAAGAAATGAAGTACAAATTGACATTAAGGCCCTCGCGTTCCTGAATATCTGTAACTTCACATTTTAGCAGCTCCCAGCCCCCTCAAACCCTGGACCTCGTACCCCTATCATGCTTAATATGTTGCCAGTATTTTAAGGTTATTCCTTTAAGTGAACCATCGTCTGCAAGAAGCGGATAAGAATCGAGTGGTGGGCCATGAGCCTTCATCATGTTCTTAAATGTCTTCCACGAGGCATGCACATGAGTAAGATGATAAGTGGTCCCTCGGTTCCCTTCGGGGGTACAGGCGGATCCAGGGGTATGGGAACAGGTCCGCCCCTCCCTTCTAAAAACTACACTTTAAGTAAACGATAGAAACGTGCCCCTCCTAATTTGTTGTGCCCCTTCAAAATAATGTTAGCCCCCTTGCACATGGGAAATTGGTACCTCTTTCATATTTCTTTCTTTTCATTGTACTTGCCATGGATTAAAAAAAAATGATGCCCCTTTTCTTGTAAAAAAAAAAAAGCCTGGATACGCCCTTGCGTCGGGGGTCCCTTATTTCTGTTACTCATTTTAATCTGTCTACTCATCAGGGGGAGTGGGCGTTCGGGGGCTCCACGAAGTATGATGTTGACAGGATGATGCAGGGCTTTTGAATATTTTGACAGAGAGAAACCTCGTAGGGAGGGAGGGAGAAAGATGAGGGGGTAGGAAGAGAAAGAGAGAGAGAGAGAGAGAGAGAGAGAGAGAGGGGAGAGAGAGAGAAAGGGCGAATGATAAAAAAGGCGAAAGAGAGAAACGGAAACATATACCACAAGAAAACTGAAATATAAAGAGACAACAACAACAACGAAAAAACGTAAAAAGTAAACAAATAAGCAAATAAACTATTA